GATAATGTAACTTTACCTTTACAGCTGCACTGAGATGAATCTTTTTTTATTGCATCAAACAGCAGTGTAGCATGATAAATACAAGATTTACCCCGGTGAAAAAAACAAGCATGAAACGTATCAAATGGTTCCACTGGCCAAAACACAGCAACAGATGTGCCAAAGTTTGTGTAGGTAAATGGCGTGCTTAAGGCCGCTGATTTAGCGCACACGTCAGTGCTGAAAAGTGCATTAGTAAAAAAACAAATGACCTGAATATCACATCACAGGTTTCTCAGTCTGTCTCAGATGTTTCCCTTTATGAATCTGCAGAAGTACCTCAGTCAAAGAACATGTCTAGTGATATTGTCTTTGTTGTTGTCAACAAATCTTGTGTAAAGACCAAAGGCTCACTAATGTTAAACTAATTAATGAGCTTCAGTGGTGCCGACTTCACCTTCAGCCAAGCTTGGCCTCTCCTGGCTGGAGCTTCACAACGCTTCAAACTACTCCTCTAAACACTGACGTCTTATGGGAGAAACGTGGTAGGAAAGTCAAAGTATTTGAGATAAACTAATGCTTTGGTTTTGGTCTTTTCAGGATATTTGTTAACATAGTATACCACAGGACTTGTCCTTCAACTGACAGCGTAGTTCTCTTTAGCATAGTTTACTCTGAAAATGTAACAAAATCTAATGCTGAGAGCTTACATTGCAGAGGAAGTAGCACAACAGCTTGCGAGTCTCTATAGACAGTTCTCAAAACACCATCCCTAGACGAGACGAGTGATCTAATGTGGTTTCGTGTTTTTTCTTTTTTTCCTAACAATGTGCTGAACTGTAACTTCATAAAAAATTAACAGTACGTACAAGTTTACTGCTAAAATGAAAGTTACAAGCCTAAATTTAAACGCCTTGATTAACAGATCCAACTTTTTATTGACGTGTGTTAAAATTTGATCCCTTCTAGTGAAATGCAACAACTCACAGCCACATTCGTAAAACCTACTGTGAAATTATGCATAGAGAAAAGTCCAGTAAGGATAAAACAAAGTGGTTAAGGTCAAATCCCAAACAAGTCCATCGACACCAGAGGCCACTGTGGGCCAGCTGTGTCCTGGTTTCCAAGGTTCTGTGCAGCAGGGCAGAGCCGAGCTCAGGTAAGGCTTTGTGGTGCTGAAGAAACATATTGGTAGGTCAGAAGGCAAGCCAGAAAGCTTTCTGCAGCAAATCAAGCACTCAAACATGAAGCTTAAAATCACAGTATGATTTCCTGTTTCTTCTGGTTCAAACATGTCTCTGTAGGTGTTAGGATGCAGCATTAAAGGCTTCTCAGCAACAGGTACAGCTGAAGGATATGTGGAAACATCACTCGCACTCCACAGGACTGAGGTTGTTGTTATTCAGAGATGTAATAAAATGTTCATAAAAAAGAAGCGCCGGGACTTTATTAGCTTGTGATTGGTTCAAAATGATCCCAGACCAAAAGAAGGTCAGGGGGTCTAACAGCAACTGGCATAGTGGGAAGACACACAGGAAGTCACTGCTTAGAGGGAAAAGGTGCTGCTCCGAATGGGTCGACCTCCACCGGCTGCGAGGGCGGCTGCTGCTGAGGTCCACTGTGGATGACCAGTTCTGTGAAGGGCACGGCCCCGAAATCATCTATGATTTTGTTTTCTCCAAGGGAACCCGTCCAAGATTTGCCATTGGCTGTGCACAAGTCGCTGTTACTGTCACCGAGGCCTGGATACTGGCCGTGCCGGCTGCCGTCTTGAGGGTGAAAAGGTTTGGCTCCAAATGGGTCTAAAAGGGCCTCGTCTACCGGCAGAGAGCCTCCTTTGTCTTTTCCTTCAGTCATGGTTATATCAACACTGATGTTCTCTTTAGAGTCAGAGGTGCTAAGGAACTCGTTGCTGCTCTGCGAGTCTCTCCGACCAACTTTTTTGTGTCTTCGAACTCGCTCAGGTGTGCGGTAGGTTGGCTTGTTTGTCTTGCGGCCTCCGGTTGGCGTACTGTGGTGCCGTTTGCCATTGCTGCCACCTGCTGTGACCTCTTGCTTGGTTTTTCTCTGACGTGATGACAGCTTCTGGAGGCTGCGCTGTTTCAGCCTCTGTTGCTGAGGACTGGCCGACTCATCGCAAGATGGCCGGAAGATATCTTCTGCACTTCTAGATGTAGTCGGAGGTGGTGTGGTAGAACCTGGCTGGAAGGGAGAGAAGCCGAAAATATCAATGCCCTCCGGGGAGGTGGGTGACATTAGGCCCGTGGGAGCATCACCACTTCTGCTTGACTTGGAGAGGTTCCGGTTGAATGGTGCTTTGGTAAAAACATCAAACTCATCTGCAGTTTGCTGCTCATGGCTGACCTGCCTAAAAGGTGCTTTGGCAAAGATGTCCGTGCTCTCTGAAGGTTCAACAGACGAGGCTCCTCCGAGGAAGGGAACGGCACCAAAAGCATCCACAGCCTTCACAGCCGGGGCGGCTCTTGCTCCACTGGGTGACTTGGGAGGGGTGAGCAGGGTCATGCCAGAATCTCCTCGAGGACTCCCCCTGGTAGCAGCAGCAGCTGCTGCTGCTTTACCAGCCAGAGCTTTCTTAGTGCGACTCTTGACCCTGCTGGGGGCATAGTCTGAGTCAGAGCTGTGCTTGTCTTCGTCCTCCTCGCCCTCTTCTTCGGAGCCCATCAAAAGGGGCCTCTGTCCTAAATTCTCTGGCTCAGTGTCATCGCCGTGGTCACTGTTGAGGGCCTCATCTTCATCTGGCTCTTCATCCTCACTGCTTTTTGGTGAGGGAGGGTCAGACTCAAAGTCACTGTCGGACTCGTCACCTGGTCTGCAGTTACTCTTTCGGCCTGGTTTGTTCTCCTTGGCTGCCACCGGGGGCTGCAGATCCTCTGCAGTGGTTGAGACAGTGCCAGGAACACCGACTTCCTCACTGGTCTGCTCAGTCTTTATCACACTGGTACCTGCAGGAACAAGCCAAAGATAAGAGTTCAACAATACCATTTAATATTCGCTTCAGTGTGCATTTCAGGTGGTTTAACCTCAGACCCTTTCAGGTATTTAAAAATTATCCAAGAATTCAGTAAGATAAATGAGAGAATCCTGATGCCAGAAGTACTAGTTTTCATTTCCAAATACATCTTAGCCCCTTTGACCTCTGTTATAAGGTATTACTGAAATCAGGATTTCATGGATTTACACAAGTTCACAAATGCAAATCCCAACAGTTTGTCTAATACTGAAGAGGAAGGAGTAAAGAGGGAGAATCATGAAGCTCGATATGGTCCGAAAGCTGCTTCTCTACTCAGACCCCACAATAAGAAAGAGCAGGCTTCAAGGCCGAAGAAACACCCAGCTTTTAAAGAGTCACAAAACAGTTTTTAAACTCAAATCTCGCTGAAAAGATTTAAGCCCACTACCTTCAGACTTTAAAAAATACAGCTTTGTTTCAGAATTACCAGTCCTTCTACATTTCTATAAATTCTTATGCATATTTGGCATTTGATGAAAATTTTGTGCCTTGTGTAAATTTATTTCCAAGAGATTTGCATAATGGCAACTTAGAAATTAGCCTAATTAGCAAGTGGACAGTCTCCAATTATGTTGCAAATAAATTGTGCCATACACAATGAGCCAATTTATTGTTCCCTATTAGTGGAAGCTCTACATCAGAAAACACAAAAAGGCCCCCTACTGTGAACACAAAAACAGAAAGCTCACCACGTCTTCAACCATCCAAACTGGCAGCACGTGGCCACAGATTAGCCAAAAGCTTTGTTGTTGAGAAATGAAACAAGGCAGCAATGAAATCTAAAAAGTCTCCAGAATAAAATGCGGTAATACAGGGAATGTAAGGAGCGAGACATGTGGCCCCAGATTATAAGCTGTACCTGTGTTCACTTCTCAGAGTGAGATGATCTTACCAAACGGAAACATCTTTCATCATGAGTGTACCGGTAGTTGTTTTGTCACTGTTCCTTTCAGAAAAGCCGGAGGATTACATGCTGCGTTTGATCTGAAGATACAAATAAGTAGTAAAGACGTGATTGTTCTCTCCTCTGATGGGAGATGAGATGTGTTAGAAATGTCTGACAACAGGCAGCAGCTCAGACGTCATCCCTTGCACAACCACGTC